TAGTAGGTCATTTCCATGTTCTTTGTAGGCACACCCTCATGCATATTTGTTTTTTTATTTAGATAGAAAGAGCAGAACCACTGGGGCTGCCGAAATCCACTGCAACATGGGACGTTAAAGCTTATCCACTTGGCCACTACCTTGGCATCAAAATCAACCCACCAATCTAAGCCCAGCTGTGATTATGTAATATTATCGGCGATTTGATCCTGCAGCCACAAAAAAAAAAAAAAATAGATGTATAAATCCGCCCCGAGTGGTACTGTTTCTCACGCATGATGTCATGTTGAATTCCTTGCAAGCAGGTTATGCAGAAATGTCCGATCAGTAGGAAGGCACTACGCAGGCACTGCTGGAGCCGATAGGTTTTGTTTTCTGTTGAATGTGGGAAACGGCCACGCCAAATTCCGTTAAATGAATCGCACGTATTAGTCTAAATGTGCTTCTCAACAAGAGGCATATATCAGAGAATGCGAATAACAGTATTTTCTAAATATTTAAGGTCTATTTGTGAATTCGGCATTTATAAATTCAATAAATGTGGACCTCCTGCGCTGGATCTCACTTCTCACAATGATTTTCCACCAAAATAGCAACGGACAGTGGGAGCCTGACTACATGAGATCTGGTAAAAAGTAGTAGTGAAATACCAATAAATTTTTATATGGTCTTAACGAGCATGCGCGCTTGCAGACGAATGAATAAAAATATATTAAAGTGCCCGATTTTTTGAATGGAGGTTGGTTTGCTCGGCGGTGATGTAGCCCTGTGCAACGCGCTGCCGAATTAAACAGCCAATAACCAAAAGCCATGACAAAACATTCTACACACCTGCGTGCAACAGTCTCATTTGGGGATTTTCAAACGGTGCAATTGCAGTTATTTGAGACACAAAATATCTGCGCCCCTGTGTTTTGAAGCAAAGGCTTTACTACTAGGCAATATCGATTAACAAAACACTCGGGCAACGAGGTAGACCACTCCAGTTTTCCTACGTAGTGCCACAGACCAAACCATGCAGTTGTGCTACTACAATCAGCGTCAAGCTAACAGGGACATCACCGCCTCCAAATAAAGTGTTTTCAAAATAAAGCTACATCACAAAACCAACCTATTCTACTCATGCCAGTGTTTCAGCAATAGCTCCGCTCCGTATTATAATATATTATTTTAGTGCATTATTTTAACACCGCCTCGGCTGCTCTACGCAATCAACTACGCACTTCTACTGCACCACTTTAACTATACGAGACAAATTCACGACATTTATTTTGAACACGACATCTCCGTACTTCCAGTCTCGTTATGTCCAATTCTAGCTGACTTGCCGCAGCTCACCGCCTCCTCCTCCCTCTCACAGACAATGAATGAAGCCAGTTTGGGAAATGGACAAGCCCAGGACCAGTTCAGGTACCGTTAGCTGAACACCCGTCTAACATGTAACCCCAAAACATTACAGAACCCGGAAACCTGTACCCCTTAGCTCCGGACATGCTGTCCATCTTAACGTTAGCTACCTTTATCTTACCATTCCGCAGAAATAGCGACAAGAAAACATGCCAGATAATAATGCCCGCCCTGCCACACCATGTAAACTGTTACAACAACACAAAGCTACAAAATACGTGGTAATATTTCTAACAGTGCGTCACTGACAGCACGTATGAGTTTACATTACCTGCAGGATGCTCAACTTCTCTGCGGTGCGGCCACGGCTTCACAAGCTGCGTCAAGTCAGCCGAGGTTCATCAAGACGAAACAGGAACCTTTAAAAGATGGCGTTCAAAATAAAAGCGGAAAGGTAAGTTACGCGCTTTGGGGGTGTTGACAAAAAGCGCAACGCTACGTGGAGCTCAAATACTAAAGCAGTACATAGTATCCCTGTCTTTCAGTCCACTTCTGTTATAAATACAAACACATTCAACTTATTTTTCGGTCGGAGCTTCACCTTTTTATATACAGTCTCTGAGCTTAACTCACTGCGTCCTGATTTAGTGACCCATGGTACATTTGAGACCGGAAACGCCCTGTTTCATTTTAGCTAGCTTGATGCTGGCATCTTCAGCAACACCTCACAGTACCTCGGATAACAGTAATTATGCATATTCATCATAACACCTCTAACCGCTGATATCTGGTTCACTAACCTGTAAACTCGGGTCTGTGGCTGTAGTTTGTTGCTTCATATCAGACAGAAGTGGCTTGGTTGTTACCGGCTCATAACGTGAGTGGTCCAGTCCAGATGCGGGACGGACGGGATGAATTCTCCGGAAAGTTGATGCTGCAATTTGCCACCGCGATAGCATCATCATTGTCAGTGTACGGTAAACATTAAACAGAACATTTCCGGGCACCACTCTCAGTGAACGAAGCCCATAGCCTTAACTTGTGAAAATAAAAGGAGGAAGCATTTGTGCTCAATAAAGCAACGTTCTTTACTGCATAATGAAAAACAACGTTGGGGACATACATTACACACACACACACACACACACACAATGGAAACAAACAAAATAGCGACAAAACGCACTCTCATCACTTACAGCAATGATTATTAACGTAACGTTACAATTTATGGAATCCTATGACAAAGTATATTAATAAATGATCAAAACCTGTCTATTGTCACATTTTATTGCGCAATTATTTTGAAGATAAAATTGCCTTAATTCCGGTTTGTGTAACTTATTCGGTGTAGCTTGACACACGGTCACAGCTGGAGCGCGAGACAAACACGCTGCTGCCCAAAATCCACGCGCGCTACCTCGAGACCCCGCCCCCTTACAGTAACATTATAAAATTACGATCTTTAAGTCTAACAGGTTCATTCATTTATTATTGCTGGTTCTAAATTGTTTTTCACACACAATGTCGACTTTGTCAGTGTGGGAAAGCCTCTTCACACGCATTTAGAGCATCAGCGGACTGAAACAGTCCAATGAAACACAACACAGAAAGAGATGAATCACAAAAACTATTACTCTATCAGCCAATTCTGAATGTGGTCACATGAGAATCATAAAGAGTTGTAGCCTACTCACCAATTATTCAACAAATAGGCCCATTTGATTCTGTAATTTATTTTGGTCATTAGAATATTAACCTTTAAAATGTAAAATGTCTCCTTCTGGTATCTAGTCACACCTACAGCATATTCCAGGAAAGCTCAATCCTGACATCATTGTGGCCTCACACTTTTAAACCTGCGATTAGAGAGAGGAACATCATACAGCCGTCTAATGAAGACTAGTGGGGCCGCCTGGTGCAAACCTCCAGGGCCCCACATCGCTTGTTTTTCTACCTGGTTGCCAGGTGCTTCGAACCCTCCGAGGAAAGGAGGGGTGCGATTGCTGTTGATGATGATAGTGAAGGTCCCCCAGGGCAGGGCCCAGAATACCACCAGGCAGAGGGGAGTGTGGTGAGCCCCCACTGGGAGCATGATCCTATAACTGGCTTATGCAACTGATCAGCCTCATCCTGCATTATATAACAGCATGAGGTCAGCCTGCTGCTCACAGCTGGGCCGGGGACTACCGCCGTCCCCTAGAACAATAGGGGTCAAATCACAACTTTAGGCACAAATCTGCTGTTCAGAGATGGTCTGAGTGTGTGAAGAGAGCGCAGAGGTGTAGCAGGGGCGTCAACGTCCCTGCCTCGTTAGTGCCATTAAATGTTAAGTGCAACATGAACGAGCAGGCTGAATTCCCGGAGAGAAATTGGACCAACGACAGATTACTGACATAACCGGTCACCGTGCTAAATTAGCCTGCTTGATGTTGATGTCTGTCAACAAACACTGGCCCAGACTGATTCCAGATGCCTTTATTGGTTCATCTTTACTGTGTTATGTTATGACCAACTCATCTGCCTCTCACAAGTCAAAGGTGTTGATGATGGAATCATTATTATTTCCTTACAGCTTTATATGCCGTATTTATGACTAAATAAGTTGCCCATACCAAACAGAAAATGACTAACAAGAGCACGCTGACAGAATAATGAAGTGAAATGAACCAGCCGACTCTAAAGAATAAAAAAATAATCTTTGCTTTTATCAGGCTGTGAGGATCTAATGGTCTAATTAGTTGTCGTTTGCATTATGGGAAATTAAATATTCAGTGTTTTTGGAGCGCAACCTACAGAAGACGGAAAATTGGGATCTTTCAGTCTCTGCTGTTTTGATTTCTATTTCATCTTTCTCTCGTGAGTCTCCAAGCTATAATCCACCAACATGGTTTATGTGGTGCATTAGCAGTATTGTGAATGCATTTAATTCATCCGACCACAAAATAAATAACCGCCAAAACATATCCGATGCATATACGGCTGGTTTATCTATATGCTCATAATGCCCATAAACTGGTTTTATTTGTAATATGAAAGGCAAAAGAAGAGAATGAAAAACAAGCAGGGGAAGTCACAGTGGGTATTTCATGTTTACTAAAATATTATTTTATCCAAGCACGATTTCAGAGGCCGGGTGGCCATTTGCGGTTCTTCCCCAACACAAGCCCCGAATGAAGTATAATGAAGTGTTGTGTTCAGCCCCCCTGCTCATGCAGATCTTGTGATAGGGAAAAACACATTCCCTCTACTTTACTTGCCAAGTGAGAGAGAGTGTGAGTGTGTGTGTGTCAGTTTGTGTGTGTGTGTGTTGCACTGGGGAATCCTGCACCGAAGGAACACAATAAATCACATTTTAGCTGGATCATGTGATTTAGGGAGGGAGGGCAGTGAAGCATTTGGAAATCCTTGCAGACCACACTTTCTGACTTTGTGTTTGCCTTTATCTGAACAAAACACGGGCCAATTCCCACAGTTGTGTGTACAAAAAGAACAGATTATCAAATGGGTTTAGAAATCTTACAGCACATGTAGTATGTCCAAATAGTTTCTACATAGTCAAATCCAGCACGTCTCCTACAAAGAAGCAACCTAAACTCGGTAGTTCGGTCAACAGCCCCACCTACAGGACAGAAATATTTGATGACATTAAACAGTTTAGTATGAGCATACAGTTTATTGAGGAGTAACTTCATACTGATAACTCAACTTTTAGGATATTGAATAACTTGTGTGCAGAATATAATAAGGCACTGTTATATATAAAATGTGGACACCTTTCTATGAAACCAAACTGATTTAAAATGAACAATAAAAAAGTACAAACAACTAAACGTAAATGCAGACAAACAAAGCCAAAACATCTCTTCCCCAGCAGGACATTTTAGGTTTCATTTGGTCTTGTCCCATAAAGACATGTAGTGCTCTCAATCAGAATATTTGTAACAGCGGAGGAAAGAATAACCTGATGGGGAAAAACTGGAATGTGTGATTAAAGGTCAACACAAACAATCCCATGTTGCTGCCAAACGGCAAATTTCAATTTGAGCCACAAAAAAATGACATTAAAGGCATCACATGCGATGGCTTCACGTCAAAAACGAGGCGTATCACCATTTCATTTTCCAATTTTAAAGGTGGAGTCGCAAGCAAATCAAACAATCAAGCAGATCAACTTGAAGCTAAAGCTATCTTTCTTCAAGGTGCAAACAGCAAGAGGCTAGCGGCCACACGTACAGATGTTTTCAGCTGAAGTCTCTGTCGGGGAGCACCAGCGGGGCCACCAGGGTCCAGAGGTACAGGGCCAAGCCGAGCCAGCTGGAGCTGATCTTCACCCACACGGCCGGCATGCTGCTCTGCATGACCTGGTAGTCGGTGTCGGGCCTGATGAAGCACGAGAACAAAGTCAGAGGGAAGCCGGTGTCTGAAGGAGACCGCCAAGAACAACAGATGGTGGATACGTACATGAACCAGTTGGTGAGGGTCATCATGATGTAGAGGGAGGCCAGAAAGAGGCTGAAGTGGAAGAAGGAGTAGCTGTAGGTGACTCCCTCCTCTTCGTTGTCCATGGCCCGCCGGACTCCTTCCTCCCCCGCCGCGGCTGTGTACTCAGCGGTCAGACCCTGGACCTCCTCGGTCTGCATCAGCTTGTTCACCTGGCTGTTGTTGGAGGAGCGGATGCTGTGGCGGGTGAGAGCACAACACGTCATCTTGAAATACAGTATTCATTTGCCCTCAGTCAAAGATACTGTTAAAAGTTTCCAACCTGATCCTGAATGTTTAGATCTACTCGTGGACCTTCTGTATGCAGGAGGAGATCTGTTTGTTTTTTGGTTTATTTATATGTAAAACTGTGTTCTTGTGCTGACAACAGTCCAATCTCTCTTCTATTAATTACTAAATGAGTTGTCGTATTTCTTCTGCTAAATCAATACTCTCTTACTAAATGTTGAAAAAGCTGAGCAATGTTATCAAATTTAAACTACAGGTGCATCTCAAAAAATTACAATATCGTGAAAAGGTTCATTTCCTCCCATAATTCAAGTCAAAAAGTGAAACCTTCATATAGTCTCGATTCATACAAAGTGAAATATTCCAGGCTTTTTGTTGTTTTAATCTTGATGATTACGGTTTACGGTATTACATTATCTTACAATATTTTAAAATATTAGAATAAAGAACTAAATGTGGACCTGAGAAGAGCCTTTAATCTCTCAGTCTGGTTCAGTACGCTCAACCACCATCATGGGGAAGAGCTCTGACTTGAGAAATGTTCAGAAGACACTCGTTGACCACCTCCACGTGGAGGGTAAGGGCTGGCTGTTCGCAGAGTGCTGGATCCAAGCACATTCACAGAAGGTTGACATGAAGGTTAAAGAGTGGAAGGAAAAAGTGCCCAAGCAACATTGATGACCGCAGGATTGTCAACTTGAGGATTCAAGAACTTGGGGGAGCTTCACAAGGAGTGGACTGAGGCGGGAGTCAGTGCATCGAGAGCCGCCACGCACAGACGTGTCCAGGAAATGAACAAGTGTTGCACTCCTGGTGTCAAATAACGATCAAAGGCAAATCATGACAACATGAAAACTACAATTAGTTACAATAACATTAAAATACCTGGCATAAAGAGTACAGAACAAGAAAATGGTCAGTCCCACGATGCCCTGCGCGTCCCACCACTGCACGTTTGAAGGGGCTGGGGTAGGAGGGGCGGGTCCTGGCGCTGGAGTTGGAGGTGGACCAACAGGCTGGACCAAACTCAGTAGACTTGGGTTACACTGCCGGTCTGATGTCGGAAACACAGAGAACAATGTAAACAGCTGAAAATATGACAACTAATTAATCCAGCTACAGAGAGGTGCGCTGACACATTTTGTTATTCTGCCTCCCAAGGTCAGCTATCCTGATTCAAGTTCTGAAGAAACTACAGTTCTGTTGTGTCTCAGATTCATTGGACTTACTGGGGTTGTTGCTCATGGCTGACCAGGTGAGGTACATGGTGTAGAGGGAGATGAGGGAGGCCTGGAGCAGGCCTGAGCTGGGCTGAGCCTCCTGTGGAGACATGGGTCAGAAAATAAATCCACGTGCCATTAAAACCAAACTCTCTTCATCACTCAAGTAATTTTGCCCTCACAGAGAAAACAGAAGCTCACAGTTAGGACCAATGGTAATTCCATATTAGCTTGTCTTCTAGATCGAGCATCTCATTTCCTTACTTCTTGCTAATAAACATACATCACTGGTAGAGGATGACACGAAAGATCAGGGCACAAAATATCAACATTTAGTAGCTTTAGTCTACAGATTCCCATATTAACTTCTGTCTGCATTACCTGAACTTTGGGCAGAATGGACACGACGGACACAATGATGCAGAATATGAAGTTGAGGCTGATGAAGACTTTGTGCTCGGTGCAGTCGTTGGGTTGGGTGTAAAACACGTAGAAGAGCACGACAGCGGCGAAAGCGGCGACATAGTTGAAGATGGTGAAGGACAGCAGAGCTGCGAGGAAAAGCGCAAGCACAAAGTGGAGTCATCATGACCACACGGAACCTGACTCACATGTAGTTCGGTCAAGGACATTTTATGTAGTTTAATTGATGGATCAACACCACACTAGTGCACAGACCTGATTTCATTCCTCTGCAATGTTTTCATCACATACGCATGAACCTACTTGCAATGGACAGGTTCATCTTGTGATTATCAGTTACAATTGTAATTTGTTTTATTGTCCAGACTTTTTTACTCTGCCGTATGATTTTTGGAAAGAAAGGTGACCCAAAAATGTAAACATTACTGGCAGCCCAAGTCCTAAAATGCAGGTAGTGCCTGTCGAGACCCAATTGGTCAAACCCTTAATTTTAAACCTTTACCGAAACTTTTATTGGGATAAATGGAGGGTGTGCTGCCCGTCTACCTGCAAACCAGCACTTGGGGTTCCCGTTCTCTGCCTTCTCCAACCAGGACTGGTTCCAGGAATGGGCGAAGTCCACCAGCAGGATGAGCTGGATCAGGATGAAGATGAAGGAGCCCACCACGCCAAAGTAATACCACACTGAGACCAGACAGAAAAAAGGATTCAGGAAAGTTGTTGAGGAGGGTTTAAAACTGGGCAATGACAGAGGTGTTTAAATACAGTACAGTATGTGCCATTGTTGGTCAACATTTATCAGTTCTGGTTGTTACATGAACTGCGGCCGCGTTTTATAGTAGTACAGGTATGATACTGGAGTTTGTACTCCACTTTGGACAGATATGTGAATTATGCTTTGTTTTACTTTGAGGAAGCTACAAACTCTAATCTAATCAGTTGTACAAAAACCGAACTTTTCACCTTAGATTACACTATGAATGAAAAAAGCAGACTTTCTGATTGAGTAATAGAAAGTAGAAATCTGAGTAAGCATTCATTACCAGCTTTTCTTTTCAATCCCTAATTTACACTCAAGAGTCTGCAGCTTTGCACTTGAACCACGCAGTGTAGCATCTTCTTTGTGTGGCGGTGTGTGTGAGCTGCTGGACGGTGCAGACATCAACTGTGTCCTCACTCTGGCTAAGACACTTATTTACAGGTCTGGGCTTCTTACCTGTGTTAAAGATGCCATCTGGAATGAAGAACGCTCCCACAGTTATGCCAACCAGCACCAGGAACTTGAAGAACCAGAAACTGAGAAGAAAAAAGGTTATTTTAAGTATGTACTGAACAAGGTAGGTTCCGCCCTCAGTGCAAATCCAGTCTCAGAGATGCAGTCCCCATGTTTGGCCACCAGAGAGCAGCATGCTGTCATCCCTCATCTGTGGCGCTGAGGCTGCAGTGTACAGTACAAACCCATTTTGGATGGCGGCTCGGGGGTCCTTGCTGCTGCGCACTCGGATCATGATGATGCAGAACAGGGCGAAGAAGCAGGCCATGGCGAAGCACATGCGGTACACAGACTTGTAGCCGACAATGATGTCACAGTTCACCTTGTTCTGTACGCCAGGTATGGATGTGCCACCAACACAGAATCCTGGAATCTGAAAGCACACAAAGGAAGTAAGGATTAAATCTGGACAAATTAAACGCTTTTTGATATTGGAATCTCTTCCTTCTCTTGAAAAAATGACTGGTTGATAACAATAACCCAAGCATCCTGTCCTGCTGCTCTTCCGTATCACTGTTGCTGGGTTACAGCCTTATGAAACCAATTGTAATTATTTTCCTATTTTTTCTTGGACTGGAAATGAAATGAAAATGTAATGACACTTGGGCAACCCCAAATGATTAAATGGCCCCATGTGGCCCATTAAATCTGATCTAATCTGGTCTTATCTCATGTACCTGTTTCAGATGTTCCTCCATGCCTGGGAGAATCATAATGACAGACACCAGGGTCCCGAGCAGCAGCAGGAAGGAGAAGGCCAGCCGGCTCATGGTGGAGTTGTACGTTGACGGGCAGCATGATGACAGGAGGCAGGGGGCCGAGCCGCACAAACAGGACGCCTGGAGAAGAGACCAAGTTGAGAATTAGCAAGGCCTTCATCCAGATTCATATTTTATTAGACTCAGAGACAGGTCTCTAGGGCGCGGGATAATCAGGGTAATGCATGCATGGCCTGCAGTGAGGGGAAAAAAAACAAAAAAACAAATAACACTGTGTCTGCTGTCAGGGCAACCATCTATCACTTTCTTCCGCGTGCTTCCAGAAAAGCAGAGACAAATGATGATTGTGGCAGTAATCAGGCCGGCGATTAGAGCCGCCATCGTAACAAATCTCCCCCTCTCTCTGTTGCAGAACAGGATCACAGAGGATTCCTGCATGATTCGGTCGCAGACTGCTGAGAGGTGTGTGGAGCGATGAGGCGGAGACTGGAGCCGAGATCAGCCATCCCTCGCTAAATATGACTAGACACCGGAGTACACAGGCCTTGGGCGTAAAACACTGCTGCTGTGACGGGAAGAATCCAGCTTCCACAGTTAAGTTTACTTAAGAATATTACAAAGAACTCACAGTGATAACACAGGATATTAAAAATAACAGGGCGCATGTATAAACTGCCTTTGCACTTTTGCAAAGGTGAAAAGGACTGACAAATCTCAAAAACTGTGAAGTCTGCCACTTTGTGAAGATAATAACTTTAGGCAGGGCTGCCTAAATTGCCATTTATGCCCAGTCCCAACACTGAATCACTGCAAATATAACAAAATATAGACAAATCTTGTTAAGATATAAATTAGATCTGCCTGCTTGAAGCAAGTAACTGTGCCACACTTTCTTCCATCTTTTATACTGGGGAATATTCAGTGTCTTGGAAACTGAATTTGCCTTTATCTTCATTATGCAGCTTTTGATTTGAAGTTGACTAGGCAGCAGCTGGAGCTTTCAGATATAGCCTGGGTGTTTGGGACCTAAAATCACATTGTTTACAAAAAGATAATCTCCTTTAAATGTTTTACATTAAATAATAACCGTCTTCTAATCTGTCTTTGTTTTGTCTTCTACGTTTTTACATTTGTTCTTAACTTGCATCAATCTGTAAAGATTTGTTTTCACAAGTATTTATCAGTGTCAAACATCTCATATGTATACTGTAGTTCTACGTTGTAAAAAAATAAATAGTTTAAAAGTCAAATGGGGGTAAATCCACAACAGGGGGATCAAATGTGAATCAAGGCAGGAATGATGGACTCATGATGGGCACAACAAAGCAGGGACTCCTCCTCCAGAGAGGATGACGGAAATACCTGAGTGAAACCCGGAAATTGCGCATTTTAAGAAAACACCTTTCAGATCTAACAGACACGCGCTAGCGTTACATTTTGTTCATATAACTCGCTGACTGCAGTAAGTCAAAAACACTGAACAGACAAGTTGCCCTATAAGTAATATAATAAGTACATGTAAATAAAGTCAAAGACAGCAGAAATCTGTCAATTCACTTAAGTTAACGTTACGTTATCGCCTTAATTGAACGCCATTTTACCAAAAAAAAAAAAACAACAAACATGTTACAAGTCGGTTTTATAGTTTAAGTCGTGTTAAGTAAACATTATAACGTTAAACTTAACAAAGTAGCCCAAGGTTGTCAAATGTTTGGGTCGCTTATTTTCACAACTTTCCAACAGGGGCAAGCGGGACAAACTGAAAAACGTCAGAACAAATGTGTACAATGTCTTGGGTTATGGTTTATAGGATGCTTGCCGAATTTAACTAGTAACATGTATTCAACTATTCCGAAAAAAAATCTAAATACACATGGGACAGGCACACGCCGACAGAAGCAGTGAAGTATTTTCACAAGACGTTGTGTTGATATCTTCGACGTGACGACGTGACGTTAATGTTTGTAGTCTCGGCTGAACAACCTCGAAAACTTTAATTAGTCAATAAATGGTGTAAGTCTACGTAACGTTATATCATGTAGAAACAACACAGTCGGTAACGTTAAATGTGTACTCACACAACTGGCTAGGGAACTCAATGCCAAACAGGCACCCATGTTGTTTTATTCACGATTCCGATGAAAGTCGCGAAAGCTTAAAAAAGTTCAGGAAGAAACGGAGTCAAAATGGCAACGTCAAGTGTCAGTTAGAAAGAACAGGCGGAAATCCGGCTACTTCCTCCAAAATAAAAGCTTCGCGTCGCCGATGCATTCACACTAGGAGAATCTGATGTTATTTCAATTTATTTATTTATGCGTTTTGTGGATAAATATAACCACATGAAATACAACGAATCCGCGGATTATTATGAACTGTGTTGTTGTTCTAGACACCGTCTATGTTGACGTTCTCAGTTTTATTTTAGCAGCACATTCTCCTATACTTCCGACTTTGTTTAGGTAATTTCAGAAATATTAATCTGTGAATGTTACTTCACACAGGGTGTAACCCATTGTAGCAGTTTTCCTGTTATCCAACACCCAGACTGCTTTTGTCAGTCGTCACTCCAAAGGTTGGACCAATTAGAGATGAATGTGTTAAAGCGAAACTATGTCTCACTTATAGTCATATAATTTACTTTAAACACTGTAACTTCAACGTCAAATATGTTTTATGGAATTCAGGTAAAAAAGGGGCATATTCAAGGCTGTGTTTATTATATTTTTTTCAAACACACATCCATCACCTACAGAAAGAAAGCAAAACCAATTCATTTTAAACCAGCCAACATAACATTCACAAAGTTCTTGCTATGAAACCTTTGTTACATTGCATTACGTATCTGTTGTAATACAATTTTATTTATTACAAGCCTAATTTTATTGTCCATATTTTATTTCCACTGTTATCTCTTCAATATACCTTATGAGGTCTTACAGTGTGTTTGCGGTGATCAAAACTGTAATTATTATGGCTTGATCTAAGAATTACAAACAGGTTGGTATTAAGATCTACAATTCAGCCTACTATTGTATTGTATAGTATTGTATTTACCCCCTATGGAGATATGCTAAATAAATAAATAGAAAACTTTTTCACATTGAAACTTTATAACCAGCCACTGAGGCTTGTGCATGATTCTCTATTCTGTGCCAAAATATGTCTTACAAGGACATTATAGTCGTGTGGGAAACACAGGCAAGAGAAAGACAAAGTACAGAGTGCTAAAGGAGCAGATCCATGGTGAAAGTAATGCACCTGCAAAGAAACAAAGTAAAGGTGTCCTCATCAGGTCTGCTACACAAACATAACATATACAGTGTGACATGTAAGCCTGACTCTGTTCAGTGTGGTTTACTAACTGGCATGGTGACAGTTCATAACCTTCTTTGTAACTTTTGCTGTATTGTCAGTCTGCCAGTTAGTAAAGGGGGACTCCATCAATTTTACACATCAAAGCATGTTTCCAGGTGATGTGGAGTACTGTGAAAAACCTTGTCTGTCTCAGAGGGAGCTGCATGAACATAAATAAATTATATTAATGTCCTCCAGTGATGTCACTTGAGTCAGCATTGGGTTGGGTGTGGACTACAAGTTTGAAAATAAAAAAAGCTTATGGTGTGGAGATGAGTGAGTTTACCAGACCTCTCTAGACCACTATTCATCTCTACTTGAGGCTACATTGGCCGCTACTAGAATAATACCACCTTAATCTCTGACTGCAGTGTTGATGGTTCAGTTGCATTGTGGGTAATGTATGCAGCAGGTTTTGACAAGGAGGTAGAATGCACAGCGGACACAACTATAAAGACAATATCTCTGGTTCTGCTGCATCGATCCTTTTCTGAAACTGTCAATTGTGAGCTCAACAGTGCAGACTGTTGGGTTTCAACTCACTCCCAAGTGGTCACACAATACGGACGCTTGGTCAACACCCCTTAGCGTCAGTTTTTAATGCATTGGGAAGCTCTTTAGCTTCATTGTTGAACACTACAAGTAAGCCTAGAAAAGTCTCGGACTTTCACCCAGGAGACCGGCGTTCATTTCCTGTGTGAAACATTTAGTCAACGTTGATTCTTCAATGTTGTACTCATGCTACATAACTTAAGTAACTTTTGTGACTAACATACTTATTTGAACCAAAACTTGCCAAACTTGATCGTTTCCTAAACATTAGGAGTTGTGGTGCCTAAACCTAACCAAACTGCGACCATTTCACAACGTGTTTTATTTATTTATTCAACAAACTGACATGTTTAGGTAGATAATGTCTGCAAACAGGTCCAACAGCTGCTATACTGCTATACCAGAAAGTGATGCTACTTTTCTACCATGCCGTAGTTCAGAGCATATCAGCATATCAGCCCAGATAACCTGACACAGAGAGCCATGGAAATCATGGGATTCAGGCAGAATCTGACACTCCATGTTGTCTATGATGAAACAATCATCAGACAGGGCCAAATAATTTTAGACCCCTCCTATGTCCTCCACCCTGAGTATCAGCTTCTTCCCTCTGGCAGACACTTCTGAGTTCCCCAGTGCAGGCTCATTATTTTCAACTGTACACATGCACATTATATGATAACTATGTTGATGAGGCGGCTTACTCATAATGTATATACTATGTTCACCATTATGATGATGATTATGATACAACAGGGATGTTGTACAAGGACAGTGTGCAATTTGTTGCTGTGAGTATTGTGTATGTCACAGTCTGTGTATGTACATGTATGTCATTTGAATCAAGTGTCCTTGGGTTTCATTACAGGCGCTTTATAAATTTAAGTTCTTTTTCATCTTCTTTTTCTTCTTCTTCTTCTTCTTCTTCTTATTGTTGTTATTATTATTTTAACAGCAGATGCTGTTTGTGTCCAAGACAAATTTCCTTTGGGGACAATAAAGTCTGTCTTATCTTATTTATTGTATTTAGTATAACCATACATGTTTATTATTGCCAACTTGACGACCATACCCTACACGTGCAAAAATGATGTTAAAGGGAATCAAACCCAGTGCGTTGAAAAGCTACTCTTGAGGGGTCTTGACCAAGCGTCCATATGTGTCGAGTTGGGTGTCCAAGGAGTGCTAAATCTAAATCTAGCTAAAGCTAAATCGATGGAATAGCTCTCCTGTAATATCAAAACCTGCCATTGAGGGGACCGCCTCTAATAACTATGGAGTAGCAAAGAAGAGAGGAAAAAACGTGATTCAGAATGACACCATGAGATGTGACACATCTGAACTAATTGACGTAATCAGAAGTTGTAGTTATATTTTCCGTAAAGGAAAAGTTGCTCCATGTATCCATCAGCTTTAACTTCTCCTGGGTTCTATAATTGCATAAACTACTTGTGTTTTGTGATTAGATTTGTATTTTATTTTTTTTACGAAGACTGCAAATGATGACATCAAACTTCATATGTCACCACAATATTTTATCTACTAATCTTGTGGCTGTTTTCACAAAGGTCCATTTAGGGTATCCACATAACATATCAACAAGCGCCCAAGCCAGAGAGAAGGAACAGAAACACCTGAAGAGGGGCACTAACAGCCTGTGGATACCCTGAATGGACCTTTGTGAAAACAGCCACAAGATCCAGGAAGACCAACACTACAGGGGATAAAGAAAAGAAGGTCAAACGCAACAACATTGTGATTCCATGCGTTTCTGGAGTATCAGAGAAACTCAGGAGGATTTTTAACAAACACAACATCCCTGTGTTTTCTAAACCCAAGAACACACTAAGACAGATGCTGGTACACCCCAAAGACCGCACACCCAAACACAAGAAAAGCAATCTAGTGTATGCGGTCCAATGCAGTGAGGAATGCACAGACCTGTATATTGGGGAGACTAAACAACCACCACACAAACGCATGGCTCAAAACAGAAGGGCCAACTCCTCAGGTCAAGACTCTGCAGTCTACTTACATCTGAAGGACAGAGGACACTCGTTTGAGGACCACCAGGTGCACATTTTAGACAGAGAAGATGGATAGTTTGAAAGAGGTGTCAAGGAAGCCATCTACACCAGGGTCGAGAAGCCGTCATTGAACAGAGGAGGGGGTCTACGCCACCACTTATCCCCCACTTACAATGCTGTCCTTTCATCACTTCCCAGGAAACTCAACAAACTTAACCTGTTGGCCTCAGGTGAAGATACCAACGATGGTCGTTCAGTCTCGGCCACAGGTAGTCTTAACGACTGTAACGACTGTCGTCACAGCAACAAGGAACACTAACGAACCAGCGGTATCGATGACCCGGGCCAACGACCCCACTGAGGTTAAATAGCTGAGTTTCCCTGCCAGTCAGTCAGAACTGAAGAAGTCCTTTGGATGAGGGACGAAACGTCTTCCAGTATCTTCAACCAAGTCCAGTTGCCCTTGATTTTAACCTTCGTTGAATAGGGCACTGAATAAAATTCTAAACAGTATCACACAGTAAACTCAGTGTTGAGTAAAATAAACAGACTTTTTCTATTAAGAGTGTCTTTTTCACCTATGCGTGTAGACAGTATTAATGCTCAGGTGGGCAACATGGCATAATATTAAGAGTTTTATAGTGTAGGCTACAGCTAAATAATAAAGACCCTTAACTTATATGTATGTTGTATTAGAACATATTTATACATTTCTACTAAAGGGAAATTATAGGGGAAAGCACTAATAGCCCACATGCAGAATAAGCCAGTGCAAAGTCACAAGCAGATGGGACTGATACTGAATTAGTTTCACCAGAAGCAGCGCACAGCGAGTAAACAGGTGTGACAGGTCAGACAGTTTAAAGCAACAGGGGGGCGAACCTCCATCTGTTTGTGTCTGACCTTCAGAAATACTGTGAAGGTGTTCACCTATGAAGAATCAGTTGAAAGGTAAAGCCTAGATTCTCCCCCAAAGCACAGCACGCTTAGAATATCCTCCGAAGAATCCAAAAACGTGGTTCGCATCAATGCATGGGTTCATGAATGCATTGCTTATCTCTAAATGAGCTACACAAAACAAAATACTGAGAATGTAAAGAAAAGCCCGTTGACTGAAAAAATGACAGCTTTTGGTTTTGCTGTGCTTTTTCTGTTTCTGCTTTAAAGTGGTAGCATCAATACACGTGCCCTGGTTTGATTATCCATGTAATAAGAAGGAGATAAGGAGAGATAAAATAAATGAGCCATACAACTCAGGACTGAGGACAAATTACTGAGTGATTGGATTCTGTCAAATGACAGGTGATAAGGCGATTCCATTTCTTAATAGCCTATTTGAATGTGTATATATGGTGCACCCCTCACTAAAAGCACAATGGTACAAACCTCTGAGCAGCAGCGGCAGGACAAAACATAAGGAGTTAATGAGAATTCCACAGGAAGCTGTGTCCTTGACTTCAAAATAAAACAAAACACTTTTTAAAGAGAAAAGTAAATAGACTTTCTGCAACGTTACCTTACTATACTACTGCTAGATAGTAGCCAAATGTTGTTAATAATAATAATAATTGTACCATAAATATAGCCTATAACTAGCTATCATATATCATCTGGTTTGACTTACTGAATAAGTGAAACTAAAACAGCCTTGGTTAAATAGCAGGCCTATTGCATATTTTACATTGATTATTTTTCTATTTCCCTATAAATTTGTGTTATGATTTATATTTTGTTTTCTGTGCTAATTCTGATAATAGGTTCCTCTTCTCCTGATCTGCCCAATTCAAGATGTCTTTCTCTAAAGCCGTTCTGCTTTTACTTTGAAGGGCCAAACCCCTATCCTTTCCTGTATCCTCCGGGCTGAGTGCGTGCAGCTTGCTGCACCTCCCTGTTGCTGCTGGGAATGAGCGCAGAGTGAAGCGCTCGGCTGTCCGTGTGGTGCGAGCGCTGTGCGGTCCACAATGCCGCGGGTCCAGCGGTGTCGGCTGTAATGAAGGACGGACCCCCTGACACCCCGCACTTTCTCTTCTTCGTCCCTGCAGAAGATGGTGGCTGGCGGCTAATTCCAACTTCGGACTCCTTGGTTGTTGTTTTTACCTCTGCGAAGCGCACTGAAATCAGTTGGTGAGTGTCCATCGTTGCGCATTTACACTGTCACCTGTTCTGCTCCACAGGTTGGACATCAGACAGGCTTCTGCTGCTGTTTCGCTAAACACAACGACAAAGCTCCAAAGCAGGCGGGGGAATGACTGCTGGAGAAGAAGCTGCTGGTAACAGTTGAGTAAAGGCGTGCAGGGAAGAATCAATGAGCCATGCTGGAGCCATTATTGGCACTGAAACTGACTTAAAAAAATAGCAAAACATAAACGGGATCTAAAACAACAGAGCTTCATGTGACCCCCTCAACACCAGGCATAGCCTATCTGGCGTCAGCTGCAGGCTTGTTTAAATCGAACACTTTGGCAATTGTTAAAACAAACAGACAATAGGCTAGTGTCAACTCCAGCAGCCTACCTGTCACCTCCATATGGGGTCAGGGCATCGTGTGTGTGTGTGTGTATCAGCTGCTCAAATGAAAATGCCACTGGCTCCCAGCAGAGAGCTCTATGGCGGCTGGCTTCTCTGCTTTGGTTTCTCCAAAGGTGCGTAAAAACCGTCACCTTCAGATGATGATGATGATGATGAGATGGTGAAGTCAAACCATCAGTCTAAAACTGACATTTCAAATTTGAAATGTTATAGCTACCCAGAGGAATTTGTAACCGATAAGAAAAGCATACCTTTGGTTATTATTTCACACTAAAGGGACCGAGGCTGTGAGAATATATGGTTAGAATACGAGTTAAAGAGTTTATTCAGTCAGTATCAGCCTAGTGGGCAGTATTTTGTGTTGTTTTAAATGTGACCGCTGTGCATTAAGAATAGTCCTAATATACCACTTGGACCATCATGAGATGCTGAAAAAATAAAAACCTCCACTGAAAATAATATATGATAAACCTAACTGCCTTATGGTAATAACTGGCAAACTCTTTAATCTGATAAACTCTTAAGGAAACTGTCCCAGACATGACAAAAAATGATTGTGTGCGTGTTTTAGCCCTTCATGTCCTTACCCTTATGAAAGCATCTATTCCCACTCAAACGAGTGCCATGCAGCTCCACATGTGCAAAGGCCCTTGAACAAGCCTCAGCCTTTATGCTCTGGTAAACATGGAGCTGAAAATATTTTGCAGGGAAAAAAAGAGGCACAGAATTTAAAACCGTGAATAGAGTGTCAGCGTTTGTGTAGTTGTTCCTGGTCGTCTTGAATGTGCAATGTCAAGGGGGAAATGAGGTCTGGGTCTGCTGGGGGGGGGGACCGGCAGCTCCTCCCTTTTTTTAATACTCATTTTAGCTCCAAGGCACTTGCTTTAATTTTACGGTTTCACCCCGTGTTAATTACATATCCAGGAGGTCATTTCTGAAAATCATTCTTGGTTCAGTGGCTGGTTGCTGTGGCGTTTTTTGCTGTTAGTTACCTGCCAATCAGACAGCATGGGCAATACCAGGATTTATTTTTATTGTGCTGCTGAAACGTGTGCGTCTTGGTTTGGTGGCGGTCTTTTATTGTTTATTACAAACATAACCGGGATCACACATGACTTCCTGTGATTCTTCCTAGGAAACACCTACTAGAAAAACAGTTAGAAAAGTAAACATGAAAGCTTCAATAAACTGGCTGTAGGCTCAATCCTTTTTTCTTTTCTTTTTTTACATACAGTACCAGCATTTAATGTAATATAAATCATCGCAGCAGGCAGTATGCTCTGTTCTGTCGGTCCTGGGTGAATCATTTGACGTCCTATCATCTGTTCTCCTTCCGGATCCTGCTTTTTCTAGGAAAAAGGCTTCATGTCACTGTGTGTTAACACAGATGACGGCGGACAGATGACGACATCGCACCACGTGCCCTCTGCACACCCACCCTAGAGTCCCAGAGGTGCCAGACGTGACTGGCTGCTCAGTCCTTTATCAATAACCTGATGAGCAGCCCCAGTCGGCCTTACCTTTTATATGTTACAAAGGCTGCCCCTCTAATCCATAAACAGCTAACTGCCTCACTTATAAAATCTGGTTAATCTCCAGTGGCCTCGACACTATACTGAGCAGCTTACCTTCAGCAGCTGTCTAACATTTTCCCTCATGAAAGAGCCAAGATGGTCACATTAACGGTGTGTTCAGGTTTGACCAATATGCATGTTAGGGTGATAGAGATATTTTGCTCATATTTTATGTTGATATTTCAATACAGAAACCATTTGCATATGAAAAAGCTCCAAAACTTTTAAGCAAACGTGCCATACCGTTGCTGGTTTTAGATTCTCAAATGTGAGGCAGTGCTGCTTTTCTCATAAAAAAAAAATATATATATATATATATATATATATATATAACTTGGGTATGTTTGGGTTTTGGACAGAGAGCACAAAGTGAAATGTTGCTTTGCGTTTAAGTGCCTTTCCTGTCAAGTGAAAATAATGTAGCGGTTGGATTTGTCAGTCACTGCTGATTGGTCAGGGCAAGCAACAACATTCATATTGAAGTAAAAAAAAAAAAAAAGACAATTTAGTCTGATTATCAAGTGTTAGTATGCCTCAAAGTAAGGCATCAAAAACTGTGGCATTTTGGTATCAGCCCCAAAATGCAGGTATCGTAGCGGCGTTAGCATCCAAACACTTGAAAAGATAGCCAGCCCTGCTCAACCCTGCTGCAGACCTGTTGTGTTTTGAGATGAAAAAAACATGTTGTTTTGGGACTTTTTTTTTTTTTTGCTGCTGCTGTCCACCATAAAGGTGCTACTGAAGGAAAGAAAAGTGTTCTTTTGAAAATATGTCACTTTGCAACAAGATAAACGACAGCCAAGCATTGCCTGTCACTTATAATCTCACCACCCGCCGCCAAATTTAATTCCTATTGATTGCGGGCCTCGCCTCTTTGAGGAGGGAAAGAGTAATTTGCCGGGCTATATTCTAGTCATTCATTATTCCTCTGTATTGACCAGTGACCTATAAGAGTTCGGTGCTTCTGTAAAGTCCATTGCCCTTTACTGTGACCTATGGCTGGCTGCCATTTGGCTACGGATACTTTTATCTTTCTGCCATTAAAACATGTCAGTCAGTTCTTCCCCCACCTGGGTCTGGAGGACATATAAGACGGCGGACATATTTTGCAGAGATGTAGAGGACGGAGGATTATAATAGGAACAGAGGGGACCTGTTTCCTAAGAAGCTGCGTTAGACTGTTCTGACCTCTCCATGCCCATTTTCCCAGCAGCCCGGCCTGACGAGAGGCAGGGGGGTGGCAGCATAACTCAATAGACGTCCCCCAGCATGCCTCTGCCGGGCTCTATGGGAAAGGACTGTGGTTCGTCAATGTCATCTCTCCTGCTGCCAGCCTCTCGGTACTGATTAGATGGGAAGGGAACAGTAGGTGAGATGGGTTGGTTCCTCTGTGGAGACAAAGAGTTTATTGTAATTCCCAAGGCATCCATTCAGTCCACAGATCAGTGACCTTTTCAGTGCATCAGAACACACAATAGGATCAGCTGCTCTGTTTTCCCCCATAATTACTGCGTGAAATTCCGTCTGCCCTAGAAACAGGCACAGCATCTCAAAACCGTTTGTCAGACACCAGCCGTCTGAAGAGCTCATTCTGTTGATTGGCAAATGGAGAGGCTGTAAGAGGGTGAGGAGGTACAATTGCTGCTTGAATAGCTTTTCAGCGGGCACCCACCAAACGTAGTTCACACTGAAGACAACTCTCTACAGCTGCACCTGGCAGCTTTGCACATTTGCATCTTCAAATGGCAGCAAATGTTTGAACATTTTGAGTGTCATCAGCTAGAAATCAAAATAACTCCATCTCCATCCGAGTTGGATTTAGTCTGGAAGGACTAGAGAAGAGCTTTGGTGGCTTCATCACTGGCGCTAATATACTGTGCCGAACTTAAAGCTGCACTAATCACTATTTTTGTTTGCAATGTTATTGGTGTCCCTAGTAATGACAAACAAACAGAGAATCATCACCCAGTTGGAGTTTCAATGAGCCCTAAGGAGCTCTTCAGTCTTGTTGTAGCTTATTGTTTTGGTTTTCTGGCGCGCAACTCTGCTTTCATCACATGATTTCCAGCAGCAGCAAGCAGCTGTTCTCACATAATCTTAAGAATAAAAAAAATCTCAGTACAGTGGAGCATTTACATCTAAAGAGCCAGATATTTTTCTCTGGCATTGGGAAGACCAAAGCAGCGCCAAAAGGAGATTTAATATTGGACCTACAGATCTGATGTTGGTGGGTTAGGTCCCAAACACGCAGGTTGGACTATATGTCCTGTTGGGTCTGGGAACAGCTTGGGATTTTCCAGGAGGAGCTGATGGAAATGTTTGGGAAGTGGATGTTAGTCCTCCTCTGTTAATTCTGGACCTGGATAAAAGTTGGAAGATTGCATTATGACTAGATGAGTGAAAATTCTACTGGACGAGATGAAATCCTCTTCTCCTGCAGCTCTTCTTTTATCCCCGCTGCTGAGTGCAGCTTTAATCACAAACACAAAAACAGCACAAGAGCTTGACACTTCTGCTGATGCAGGGTGGCAGTGTGTGTGTTGGCTTTACAGCAATTGTGTGTGTGTGTGTGTGTGTGTGTGTGTGTGTGTGTCTCAGCCGATGCCCCATTTGCCAGGGTTGTTGTCAGAGAGTGCTTGAGGCCCATGGGTGGTAGCCAGCATGCAGGAGCAGCACGTGCAGCCGAAGCCACCCAGGCCGCATCGCTGTTGACACAATGGTCTAGTCCGGAGAGTGCCCGGGGTGGAGGACGGCCTTGGTTGCACTCCTCAAATCAGGCTTTGTGCTGAAATATTGATGTGATGGCAGCACACAGTGTTCTCTCATTCTAATGTGTCACACATGTCCGATACGTGTGACACATACAGTAGATTTATTCTTCTGGCCCTACTGCCACTACAAGGGTGAAACTGATATATGGCTTCTGACAGCTGATACTACTACATCTGGTTAGGGATGCACCGAAATAAAGATCCTTGGCTGAAGCCGGAACCGAATATAATGAATTTCCATTTTTTCCATTTATTTGTCCTTTTTTTTTTTACCATTGCATAAATGAAATAGTCAAAATGTGCTTTTTACTTAGTGTTTCCCAAAGGATTTGGAGAGACTATGGGTGGTGGGTCCAAGGCCCTAGAGGGTCCGGTGAAGTAAATTACATGTGTACAATTACT